TGACACACAATGCGAGTTATGCTCGATTTTTTGCCGATTTTTGACACACCATGCCAAAAAGGTTGCCCATCACTGGTCTAGGACAACTTGCTGTGGCCAACCTGCCAGTCAATTCACCATGGCCAACTTGCCACAGGACAATTCAACGCTGTTGTTTCATTCAGATACTTTTATTATTGATGACCACTTTTATCTTCCCGTCACACACATGCACCCCGGGAGGCTGCTCTTCTGGTTTCCGGAAGAGCACTCCCGTTTCGGCACTCAGTACCGAAAAGGTTCACCAACACTGAGATAGGGCATCATCTCCTGACAAGGAGAATGTGCTATTCCTTCCTTAGCCACAAACATTTCTCCACTTTCTTATCCTGAGGACTTCCCATGTCCCTTGGTAAGTCACCATCAAAATATTGTTCTGCACAACAAGACTGTACTTTACAGGATTGCAGCTCAAGGTAAAAAAAACAAACCCCAAAAACAAAGTTTTATCAGAAAAGGGTATAGTGTAAAAATTTGCTGGAGACATCTAAACCAAGGAACTTTATCCACAACCTTCCCCCGGCGCCAAAGGCTCAGGGTTGAAAAATTTCCCATTCTTGATGGATCTTCATGATGATTAATTGCAGTGAATGCAATCTGGTAGTTCTGTGCCCCAAACTACAAACAACAGGAGATCCATCATCCTGTCTCCAATGTCTTTCCAAAGGTTAAATTCCTTTTGCCCCCACCGCCCCCTTCCAAAGTGCTGGGACTTCTGCTTCAAGAATTCTAATTCACAAAGTCCCAGCATGGCTAGAAGACAATGGATTGGGGAAAGTAGGCCGAATGGTCTGGGCGCTTTCTCCACTGTGGCATGTCCACCAACTATCAATACCCATTTTGATGGAGAAAAGAATATGCCCGGGGGCCTGTAGCACTCCTGTTTTTGCTCAAGGAATCCATTTGAAGTGGCAGGGGAGCAAGAGATGTCCAATCACGCAAAGGCACAAGCCTCCAGCGTAGATGAGCTACTAGTAGACCTCTTCCACCTTGTAGAAGACCCATTCTACAGCTAGACCTCGTCCACTGAGCTAATCCACTTTGCATTGAGTGAAATAGGGTGGAATGCATCCAGCAGGATCATAAGTCATTTGTACAATATTGACTGAAAAGAGATTCCAGAGAGATTGATATCATGCCCTCAGCTTTCCACTAGCTGGCCTGGCACTCTTCAGTTGTGTTAATTGGGAATCCTGGGAGTTGTAACCCTAGCATATATAGGAAGTGCCAGGTTGGAGAAGAGTGATCTCTTGACTGATTTTTATCAAAACCTAATCCTGTAACGCTAAGAGGAGATAATGGTGCTTAGTTTAGGCACACAGTAGCAAGCAATAATCAGAAAATACAGAGTTCAAAGTGTTTGCTCATGGGGAAATTGAAATTGCTCTTGCCTAAGTTGTTTTGCAACAAAGGGCAGGCTTGTTTATCTCATAAACAGCCCTCTTGGCTTCAGGCATTCTTTTCATCATGGCTTAACTTTGTTGGAGGACGTCGAACCACCTTTTTAGTTGCTCAGAACCACATCAGCTTTTAGTAACCACAGACGGTCTTGTTTGATACTGTAGATCAGGCAGAGGAACCAGCCATCTTCTCTTGGTAGCCTAATAGAAATCAACAACTTGAAGAGCGTTTTATTAGCTCCTCCCCTGCCTGCCCTTTCTTGCTCTGGTGCCCCGGAAGATAAACTGGAGTTCTACCTCCACAAAGGCTGGAGTTGCAAGCCCAGGGCAGCTCACAAAAAGCATTGGTATAAGGCAACAAAAATACTTTATTGAATCGTTCAATGGGAATGTGTCAAGACTCATTAAGCCAAATAGGTCCAGCCACAGTTCAGATATCCTGTCTGTCCCACCATGAGCTCCATGATGGAAGAAATCTCTGAATCATTGACTTGAAAGGAGTTGGGCCAAACGTTAGGAAAATATGACCCTTCCACAGATCTTGAGTTTTCAGGCCAAGACTGATGGTAGCATCAGGGAACACACAGAAGAAACTTGGAAAGTTCACATTGAGAAAAACAGACATTTAATACGCTCCAGGGGTGTAGTCCTGCTGGCTTGAGTTGAACTATTCCATAATCAACCAGATTAACACACATAATTGCTGAAACCTGGTATAAGGCAGACGGTATAAATCCACTTATTGGAAATACTGACTGGATTCACAAATCACATTAAGTTATAATTTGCTTAATCATGATTTAATAAAGGATAATTTGCTAGGTTCACATAACACGCAAAAGCAAACACACCATATTATGGCTTCATATGCTGTCTGAACCCAGCCAAATCTCATATGTGAGTTGCACCTTCATAAAACTCATGAACGAAGAGAACACCATTGTGCAGCCTTACATTTTATTGTTGAGCTCAGTGAGATTGGAGGACAATCCTTCCTAATTGATTGAACCCTAATTACGCTAAATTACAATTTTCAGATAGGACTGTAGTGAAATGACCACTCCCCATTCCTACAACAGTGGCAGTGGGTGCACATGACCAATTGAGTCCCCCGTTTCTTCCAAGCAAAGGAAGCTGGGATCTAGTGCAATTACATGTACTTAGTGAAGACGTAGTTGGATTGTGTTATCTGTGGAGATACAAACACCATCTTGGGTTATTGATGGCTCTGGAGTAGAAGATTCTACTCCATATGTAGGATCAACCTGGCCAATTTTTGAGTTGTATTCCAACACGTAGGTGGCATTGAGTTGGGAAAGGGTCTTGATGTTTATGCTATGAAAAATATATTTGCCAGACACTGAAGTCAGCAGCTCAATGAAGCTCATTTTTCACAGTTTTATACAAAAAAAAATTTAATAAATATTTTTCAAGATTTATTGCCAGGAATAACACATCAAGAGATGTATTTTCATGTTCATGTAACACTAATATTGTCATACAATTTATCTCTGTGATCCAAGTGGTCAATGTTTGAATCCTTTTTAAAAAAAATTATTATTTGATCATCCATCTTTTGTAATAGCACTTTGATTTCCTTATTTCTTTTAAGGCGGGCAGTGGAACCTATGCAAATCTACACAGTGATCTTACTGGACGTTCTACTGTTCAAGTATTCAATGACTAGCTTATTAGAATACTTTCTACATACAGTAGATTACAAAAAAAAAGGAAGAAAGAAATCAAATCTACAAGTGGTTCAGTTTTATACTATTTTTGGTGGGGGGAAAATCAAGAGTTTACAAAGTAAGATTTTGGTGCTTCCAACTTCACACACTAATTCAGTTTTTTTTTAAATTACATGCAACCACTCACAACTCTCACATTTCATCTACAGAAGTTATAGCTCCTTTAGTGTTCCCTTAAGCTGCTCTGAAGCAGGTGATCTGTCTGTCATCCTTTCCTTCCTTCCCTCCCACCCCATCTTTAAAGCAGCCAGAAAAAGAGAGAGAGAGAGAGAGAAAACTAGATCTAACTGCCTTGGCTGGTATTTTACAAAAAAATATATGAATGTGATACTATGGAAGATGTTTCCAAAGGAATAAAAGAGACACATTTGACATCATACAAAAAAGTCAGCATCGAAGGCTAGAAAGCCCTTCCTATTGTTAAAAATTAAAAATAAGACAAAACGAAATTCAGAACATTTAAATTTTGGCATGCAGGCAACATGTAACAACAAAAAAAGGTAAAAAAGTAAAGAAGCCATAAGCAATACAATGCTATGAAAAACCTTCAGCTCTAAACACATACATATAAATAAAAAAAGGAATGATATTTAAGGCTCTTGATTATTAAGTTAATAAATCAAATATACACAGTGATTAATAAAAAAGAATTATTTACATAACTATACAAACTTCTACTTTTGACACATTTTCCTCTCAATTCTTCATTATTTTTTTTACCAGCAACTGCTGACAATGAATCTTCCTGGTCCCTCCCTTCCCGCGAACAAAACGAAACGAAACAAAAAAAAAAAAAAATACCATAAAAAAATAAATAATAAACTTTTTTTTTGATAGTTGCTGTGGTTCTGAGCTGCAAAGGCACTTTCAAATACAGAACTAGTTGCATGTCATCATAAAACCAATATACAAAAGAACTCTAATTCAATAAATAAATAAAACATACTTTTTCTTCTAAGACTACAGACTGTGATTTCTCGAGAGAGAAGGAAGTTGGGGGGGGGGGACAAACAAAAAAAACGAACAGACCCACCAATATGTATATATTTCTTTCCCACTCCAGGAAAAAAAAAGCAAAATAAAATCCTAGCGGTTCCTTATGAAACCTTTCTGGGATGCGTCGGCTGCGGCTGAATTGACAGAGGGGGCACTTTTTGACTAGTTTTGCATAGATGTGAAATGCAGCACTTGGTAATCCAGCCAACCACAGCAACTATCACTGCCAGTGTAAGCCAGCTTGTCAAAACTTTAAATTAACACAGGGATATTAAGCAAATAATAGCCTTAGACTCAAAATATTACACAACCGTTTTAAGAACTACAAGCTCCGAGTTGCCTTAGATTGATAGGTAAAGGCCCTGCACGGCAGCACCTGCTGTCTGCTATACAATATATTCCATTCGGTTTAGGCTTTGTGCATTTTCCAAGTCCCGGTTGTCTTGTTTGTTTGTCCAATTTGGGTGTTTTGTAGGCGTGCCGTTGGGTGGCTTTTCATCTCTGTCTACTAACGTGTAGGTTGCCTGTTTGGCAAATCGGGTTTTCTGCTGGTGCTTGTCCATGTCATCTTCTTCCACCTCTGAATTGTGTGTCCTTATTTTGGCAATTTTGGAGTTCTTGTTCTCATAGTCTTTGATCGGCACAGCATTGGCCCCGTGTTTCTCTATGGGGTTCTTGATCTGGTTCAGTTGCTCCCGCACGTTGTTGGTGGTGTTGTCTTCCGAGGCGGTGTGTGTGTGAGTGCTCTGCTTTCGCCGCTTCCGGATGCACCAGTAAAAGGCAGTGACCAGGCAACAGATCCAAGCCACAGTTAAAATGGAGCTGAGTAACGGGACCAAGAAATCTGGAAGGCAATTGAGGTTCACCATTAGTGCTTCAACAAGTGGAAGCTGCTCCTTCTTGAATGACAGACCTCATCATGCCAACCTTCCCCAACCTGGTGCTTCATAATGTCAAATTTGATCCTGGAATTTGATGCTTGAATACCAATATGCTGGGGACGGAGGAGGGGGCTTCATGGTAGAAAAAGTTTTCCCATGCTAATGAATTCCTTAGCTTTTTTTAACTTTAAAAATTATTTTAAAAGGTGTAGGCTACAACGTTGCACAAGTTTTTAAATACCAAAGCTGTGATCAAGGAAGGCTTCCTTTTTCTTATGTTAGAGAGTCAGGATTGTGCTATGGGAAATTCTGAAGGGTTGACCTAACTAGAATTGGCTCATTTAGAGAAAACCTACCGAAATCAATGGAATCCAGACAAATTATGTCTAACATGCCTCACAGATTTATAAAGGTGTGGTTAAGTATTACTAAGCCTGCATGTAATCCTTGATATCGGATATTGATCTTCCTACTTAAGGGTTATCAACAGAGCCTAATTAACATTCTAAGAGCAGCTTTGTATTCCTTTTCTTTTTTGCTTGTAACGCTAGTTCAACAATCTGTTGAGGTCATCCATACATGGTATAGGGTTTGGTTATGTACTGCCTGTCACTCATAACATCTGCCTGGCTGATTTGATCCTGTAGTGTTGACAGGCTCTAGGTTCCTTTGATTAAACAATGTCTTTGCTCAGGACTTTGGAGTATCTGCCCTCTAGAACTAGGTCCCTGCCCTCCAAGATTGATATGGCCTCCACATTGCTGTCGTTTAAAAGAGCAGGTGAAGATTTTGCTTTTCACTCAGGCCTTCAGCGAAAGGGGGACCCTCACTTCCTTGCACTTATATTTTCATTGTTCGTGTTATATTTTAATTTGATTGCTGTGAACCAGTCGGAATCATGTTGCATACATCATCATCATCATCATTACAGTATATACTTTATTCATTAAACATGAAACTCAGCCAACTGAACATTCAAAAATGCATTACAAATACCAGTCACTGGTGCTAATGATTGATACGGTTTGCTGCCAGCGTCCTAGGTATCAGCCAAGTACCTTCTTAAAATATAAGATGTTCCGAGTACCACAGTTTTTTGCAGTTCCGCTGGTGTTATTGCAGGAACCTGCAATTTGTTGATGTATCTTGTAAAATTCTTGGATATGGTGCCAAGTGCCCCGATTACAATGGGTATCACTGTTACATGCTTCATCCATAGCCGTGTATAGTTTCGATGGCTAGGTCATGATATATTATTATTATTATTATTATTATTATTATTATTATTATTATTATGTTAATCTTTGGTGAGATTCACAGCCTTTAGGGCTGGTTGGTATCTCAACAGCTCGAGTCCTAACCAAGGGCCTAGGAACTGTTAAGGTTGTTGTTGTTGTTATTATTATTATTTTCCCCATTTCATTCAAAACCAGTATCTTACTCACTCAATAATAGGCCACTTGCAAAAGCTGATGAATGGCGACAATGTTTAGTAAGTTTCAGTATCTGAGCACAAGAGATGTTTATATCTATGGTTCTCATAGGTCTAGTTCAACTTTGAGCTCTACCAAAGAACAATATTTATTGGAAGAAGCCACAGGGGATTCCACTCCTGTCAGATAGAAACAGGAGCATTCCACAAGGGGAATAAAACAAAATTTAAAAGGTTGACTGTTATTGTGCAATCCACGTCAAAAGCCGGGGAAATCGGGAGATTCAGGCCCTTCAAATGAGTATAAAGATTTATTGCAAGCTTAAGCTCTCTACTAGAATCTGACCAACTAACAGTCAAGGGAAATTAGTGGGAGATAAGAAAGGAATTCAAGGAGGGCTGGACTAAGATCTCTTGTGGGCATTCAGGGACTCATGACTGATGATGCATTTGATCCCTCTCTCCAGCTCAGCCTGGTCATCTCCTACACTCAAAGCCTCCCCAATGCATGCAAAAGGGAGTGGGGCACTGGTTGTGTGGCTGGCAGCTTGCCTTTTCTGACCCCCCCCCCCCACACCTAAAGATGCCTCCAGGTACAAACGGAACAAAATAATTTCAAGCCGTGTATTAAAACAACTATTATATTTGGAAACATTTTTATCTTATAATCAGCAAAGGCGCCTCTTCTAAAGCAGATTTAAGAGAGACCAGTTTGTCTTCTTAGTTTAAGAAAAAAAAAAAAACCAATCCACTTCTGGAATTGGTTTACCTGTTTTGCTCTTAATTGGCCGCCTCTGGACCCGGACTTCTGCAACAGCTGCAATAAGGGTGCTATTCCCATCACGTTTGCTGACCAGATCGATAATTTTATCAGTTATTTCCTTTACTGGATTATTTTCCTCCTGGATATCTTCAGCAGACTGAAGGGAGAACAGTACAGCTATATTTTAGGAAAGGCAGAGTTTAAAAATCAGCTGCTACTTGAAATAAGACAAAGGCCTTTGAGTACAGTATGGAATCCAGGGTAACCCAAGGTGGGAAGCGTTCGTTTGAATCAATACAGTACAGGCTTGGATTCCGCTAATTCAGCAAAAACAAGACTATTAATTACATGCAATTAAAGCCACCCGCCTACTTTTCAAAACCCTTCAATACATCCAAATGCACTGCCGAATTTATAAAAAATGCCCACTGTGTTTCTTTTATTAGCTCAGATTACAACATCCCATTATTGAGCTTCCAAGGTGGCTAACACAAAGCCACTCTTGCATAAAGAAATTTATCCTAGAAAACAACAAGAAACAAGGAAAAACAAAAGGCAGAGAGCCTGATTCCCCCCCCCCCCTTTGTTGGAATTAATTCCATCCAATGCAGTGGAAAATGGCAAGAGGAAGCCCTCTTTCGTCCTTCTCTCTCCCCTCCAGAGAGGCTGGGGGAAAATCTCCTCCAGGCATTTCAAAAACCAGGCTAAAAGGGATAGACTTACGATTGCCACGTGAATTTCATTGCTTGCCAAATGCGATGGCTCACAGGTGATATACAGAGCATATTCAATGGAGACATTCCTCAGGATATTCAGGTTCCGCAGCTCGCTGCAGATATGCTCGGTTGTCAGACCCTAAGGGGGGGCGGGGAGGGGGAAAGAGCATAGGCAAGAAAGCATGAGAATCTGGACCGCAGAAGATTATGAATCATTCATTTTATCCGGCTGTAGTTACACAAGACTCCTTGTCTCCATGTTATAACTGGAGCTGTATATTCTTGCTATTTGCTATTTAGCAAAGAGGGATCATTATAAAACAATCAACCTGAGCTTGCAAAAGTAAACTCAGTAGAGACACACTTATTGTAGCTCCCCAATGAGGAGACTTGCACGAGGAGTGCATTTGCAATTATATTCCTAGAGGGTTTTTTTCTGGTTAAAAAAAAACAACTAATAAGTTGAAATGGCTTTGAGGCACTTTGCTGACTTTGGCAATAAGAAAACCAAATTAAGTCACTGCTGACCGAAGCTTGCTCAGCCCTGCAGGAGTCATCTCTGCCTAGATTTTGTTGAAGACTTGATGTAAAGATATGATGAGAAAGCCGCCCCATGGAAGACACTCAGGGCACCTAGGGAGAAACCCGAAGTGCGCAGAAGGGTTTTTTTTTAAATTGGTTCTCTAAGATCACAGGTGAAACAGGACTGCTACTGCAAAGCAGACTGTTGCTAGGAGTTTCTTGGCTCCTTCTCTGGAAATGGGCTAACTTACTGGAGTCATCATCTCTTTGTTGAAGGTGAAGGTAATGTTAGCACAATGTTCCTGGTAGTAAGAATCAGAGCTGCAGGTCATTTTCACCGGCTGTTGATTCGATGGCCAGCATTCGCCCGCGTTGTCACAGGGTGGGACAAAGCAGTGATCGGCTTTAACAGGATGACAGGTGTGGCCTGCGGGACATTCACTGTGGCCCTTGGCGTTTATCACACAAGGCTTTGGGCCGCACCAGACCTAGAGATAATCGAACAGTTAATTGCTAAGTGCGCACCTGAAACAGGGAGGAAAAAAGCAAAGGAGCCTGTTGGTTCAGAGATCTACAGGATGGTACCTTAGAACAGGAGACTTTTCCATTCACACACTGACAGCTGTTGCATTCGTCATCCCACTTTGAACCATCTGGAATAATATGCCCACTGGCAATGCAGGGTCTTCCTGAAACTAAGACAGAAAAGTGTTTAAGGGATTCATCTTCAAGATCTCTGATTCAGAAGGAGACTTTAGATGAAATACCCAGGAGGAAGGAGGAAGGCAAGACAAGAAAATCATCTACACATCTTTGCTCCCAGCTAAATGAAATATGTCCCATCACAGATGAGAATACTTGTCTACAAGGCGGAGTGGCAAAGTAGTTAGAATGCAGTATTGCAAGCAAACTCTACCCATAACCAGAAAGACTCGGCCTTTCATCCTTCTGAGATAAAAAGAGGACTCAGATTGTTGGGGTTAATATGCTGATTCTGTAAACCGCTTAGAGAGGGCTGTAAAGCACTAGGAAGCATTATATGTCTAACTGCTCTTGCTATTCAGCCTAATAATTGATCCAAAAAGAGGAAGACGGCTTTTAAAACATAAGTGGCACCACAGCTCCTAATTTAGACCACGCATTTTGCTGCAGCTAACTAGAATTATGCAATTTAAATCAGACATGGAATACCTTCTTGACATATGGGACCACCGCGGCCAGGTGGACAAATACAGCGATATCCATTGATTTCATCTATACATGTAGCTCCAAAAGCACAAGGTGAAGACTGACATTCATTGATATCTGGAGGGGAAAGGAGGAAGATGAGGAGTGCAATTCATCGGTTTACACACTTTACCCCAACTATTGAGAGCAGTGGAGAAATTCATTTTTTTTCACTACCGGTTCTGTGGGTGTGGCTTGATGGGCGTGGCAGGGGAAGGACACTGCAAAATCTCCCTTTCCATTTCACTCCTGGGGGAAGGATATTGCAAAATCTCCATCCCCGGCCAGAGGTGGTATTTGCCAGTTCTCCAGACTATTCAAAATTTCCATTACTGGTTCTCCAGAACCTGTCAGGACCTGCTGAATTTCACTCCTGATCGAGAGTCTTAATCAGCCTGCAAACCTTGATTGTTTTTTTTAATGAAAGGTTTATTACAGGCAGTCCTCGACTTGCAACCATTACTGAGCCTGGAATTACAGTCATAATTTGTGGCAGTTGTAAGATGAGGCATACATGTGACCAGAAGTAGTTTTATAGCCTTTTTCACAGTGGTTTTTAAGCAAACACCACAGTTTTTGACACAACGGTCATTAAGCCAACCCATTCATTGGAATGAGCATTTATTTTTTGCTATAAACTGCTCCTATTTTCTGTATCAAATGAGATGGATGACAACAAAATTTTTATAAATAAATAATCCCAAATCTGAGTCACCTGACCACAAAATGCTGCAACCAGTTATAAAGCATGTGGTCATGTGACTGGGTGGCGTTGGCACTTGACCAGTTACTATGGCGGGGAGTGCTTTATGGGATGCAAAACATCAATTCCGTGGCCACTGTGACTTTGAATGATCACAGAAATCACTGGTCATTAGCTGACAATCCCCTGCATTACATTTATTATTTTCATACACCTATTATATAAAATAATAATAATAACAACAACAACAATAATAATAATAATTGGAATTTGTGCAAAAATTATAATATTAAAACAGCAACAAACTGGTAAGAACATCAGCCTTAAAAAGTCACCGAAAATCAGATGGTCAAGATCTTGTGGGATTTCCCTATACAAACGGACAAAATACTGGCTCATAATACACCAGACATCACACTGGTTGAGAAAAATAAGGTCACAATCATTGACATCGCAATACCAGGTGATAGCAGGGTCGCCGAGAAGAAACATGAAAAAATCGCAAAATACCAGGACTTAAAAATTGAAATTCAACGACTATGGCACAAACCAGCAGTGGTAATTCCAGTGGTAATTGGCACACTGGGTGCTATTCCAAAAGCACTGGAATTACATTTAAAATTGACAAAATCACCATCAGTCAAATGCAAAAAGCCGCATTGCTTGGATCTGCACACCTATTACGAGAATACATTACGACGTCCTAGGCCCCTGGGTGGGGCCCGACTAGTAACCAATGCCAAATCCGGCGAAACAACTGGCCGCTGTGATACAATTTTATAATAATAATAATAATGATAATTAAAAGGAACACCAAATACTTATTTCAGAAGTTCCATAATTCAGGAATCTTATATTGGGCTATTATAATGATCTTAGATTTTTGGCTAACAATGCCCCTTTCAACATATCGACTTTTCTGATAACAACAGCTTCAATTACATTTTGTATTCTGTACACCTGATTGGATTTCTGTCTCTTAGGAAGTACAGCTTTGCTTTTATTGGTATGTTTCTATCGACAAGGAACCCTATTCGCTATTTGAAGGTCTGAGCCCAAGGCAAAATGTATTCTAATTAGAGAACATTTCCTTCTGAGCCATTTCTTGGCCATAAGAAAGTCCATTCCCAGGAGGAAAGGGAAGAGGAGAGAAATGTTTACCCCTTGCAGCCCCTCTTGAAATGTCTTTTCCTTGGAAGGAGAAAACTATGACACTTGTGGGCCCAATTCAGAAGGAAAAAAATGGGTGGCTTTTGAATACAAATAAGGAAGAACTTCTATATCGCACATTCTTAATTTGTGGGGTTCTATTACGGTTGTGTGATTATTTATTTATTGAAAACATTTATACAGACGTCACATCTTTCAACTAACTCTGGGTGGCTCCCAACCAAAAATTAAGAGTCATAATAAAATATTTTAAGAACTGGAAAACTCAACCAATTAAAACATTGAAAACAACAAAAACTGGTGCCAATCAATTCTAATGTGCAATCATTTAAACTCCCAATGCTTGGGAGATTAGCCAGGTCTTTAAAGCCTTATGGAAGACTAAAAGGGTGGAAGTCCGCCAAACTGCAGGGGGTAAAATGTTCCCATAGGGCAGGGCCGCCACAGAAAAGACATTGAATTGAAGACCAATTCCATGGCAACCACTACTCAAATGAGCCAATTTGCAAAGCTTTAAACCAACGTTTTTGAATCAAACCATTCTAAAAACTTACTTATTCTGCAGTCAGGACCTGCAAAACCTGGAGCACATTCACAGCGGTACCAATTTTCTCCATCCACACAGTTTCCATTATTGTAGCTGTTTGGGAAGAATGAATGGAGAAAAGGGGAGAGAGGAGGGGAAAAAAAAGACAATGAAAAATCTTTTGGTTTTTACTTCCACAAAGTGCAGGGTGACATTCACAATGTAATAGATTTCTAAAAGAAGGCAACCTTGCTGCATTGAACTACAATCCTTAGCATTCTTTAACATTGACTCCGCTATCTGTGGCTGCTGGGATTTAAAGGCCAATGACGCCTGGAAAGTCAGATTGTCCATTATAACCCATTCTATATATGAACTATTCTAAACATACAGTTGGCAGTTAATGACAGTTGGCAGCCAGGCATCTTTGTAGGACTGGCTCTCTACAGATAAACGACAAGTATTTGCTGTATGCTAAAGTAAATAAATAATCTAAACATACACAAATGAGTTGTATTCTACTACAAATTGCACTGGCTGAACAAGACATAGGTAATTATATATAGTTATATATCAGTGATGGCGAACCTTTTTGGCACAGAGTGCCCAAACCGGAAGGTGTGGGTACATGTGTGCACATGCACAAGTGCCAGAGCACCGGAAACCCGATGACCAGTTGGCAGGCAGGCATGCATGCCTTGGAAACCCATTGACCAACTGGCTGAGCTGGGGCAACGGTGCACATGCCCACAGAGAGGGCTCTGCATGCCACTGGTTCGCCATCAGTTATATATAGTGTGTGCTGACTAAACAGCTTGTTATTTAATGGAACAATAATAAACACGGCAAAGATGAAGGAAGTCTTGAAGAATTTGATAGGATGTTTTCAGAGAAATTCAATGGCTTTGGAGGAAGGAGAGGCAAATGTACAACACGTGACTAATCAAATGGAATCTTCTAAGTCAGGGGTGGCCACAGCCCGGGTCGGGGCCCACTACTGGACCATGAGCCATTTGGAACTGGGCCGCAGTAGTGATGTACAGGCTAGCGCATGCACACCCCCATTTACACATGTGCAAACTACCCCCCCCTCCCCGTCTGCAAAATTGAAACGTTTGGGGAACTCTGTTCCAAGTAAAGGTATCTACAGCATAAATAGCGACGACAGTATAGGGGAAAAGGAAATGGCTTGGGTGGAGGAATTTCTTTCCCCATTCATCTTTTTTCCCATCTTTATTCAGATGCAAGAAAGTGACTTACCAAGGATGTGGACTGCAGTCATTTGTATCTGCAGAGAGATCAAAGAAAGGCAAAGTTAGGGGGAAAGTACGGTAAGAGAAGCTGGGCAATGCATGAGTGATGGGACTTTCTTGTGGATGGCCTCTAAATCTTGGTTTTATTCTTTAAGCTGGAAATTTGGATCACACAGATTTTTTTAAAAAGTAGCCTTGTTGACTACTTTTCAATTAACAAACCACTGACAACATTCTACGTTTGTACAGTAAATGAGAAGCCCTCTTTCAAAGCTCTATTACTCACACAGAGTAATTTTCCTCTTTCTCTCTGCAGCTTTTGAAGTGACTGGCAAGGCTTTTAGACTCTTAGTTATTTTAACAGTGGCAACCGCTACAGGGCTGTCCCATATTTAATGCATACACACAAGTTTTTTTTTAAAAAAATCCTGCTAAAATACTCAGAATAGTCAGGAACTGATTCCCCCACACACACAGAAAAACAGGGTTTAGTATGGACATAATAGAACTCCTGAGCTCAACGGACAGATATTTAGAATATTAAAAAATGCTAGCTTTTGTATCTAGTCTCAAATAGAGAGACTCTTGTGCAATCCAGAGCTTGGTAGACATCCAAGAGGGGGATTACTATAAAGTCTCTCCCAGGGAACTGTTTTGAAGGGTGCGAGGGAAGAGGGAGGCAAAGCCATGTGGAGGAGCAAGTCCACATCTGCCTCCACTTATCCTGTTTGCCACTTTTCTCAGGCCCAGGTCAAAGCTCCATCCTACACTGTCATTAAAACCAAAGGAAAGAGGTGAGGTTCAGGTCCCACATCCAACAGCTTCCCATTTCTGGTTTCAATCTCCAATTCCCCAGAGCACCGTTGGCTCAACAAAGCCCCTCTAGATGTATTTATGGAAGAGAGAGAGAGAGGCGGGGGGGGGGGGAAGAACTCACTCTGCGTGCACGTAGGTCCTTCCCAGCCTTCTTTGCAAACGCATGTGAAAGACTCTCCACTTACAACGCATGTTCCCCCATTATGGCAGGGGCTTGGCAGGCAGCTGCTGTTGCGTGCTGTAAAAAAGAAAGATAAAAAGCTTTGCTGCTGGTCTCTTCGGCCCACAACTCGGGAGAAGGAAAGGCGAGGGACCCACTGGTTCATACCTATATTGCAAGTGGCTCCATCCCATCCTGCAGGGCACATGCACTTGAAGACGTTGCCCTCATCGTAACACGTCCCTCCGTTGTTGCACGTGGCTTCGTCGCACTGACTGTCACCTACCCGATGGGGAAAAAGCCAAAGGGTCAATTTTCTCTCAGTAATAACGTTTACTAAAATTTAAAAATAGAAAGAACTAATGTTTAATATATGTATGTATGTAGGTTCCACCACAAATGCGCGCACAACAAATGCGCGCCTGACTAAACCGCGGTGTCTAAAGCGCGGTGACAAAACCGCGCGACGAATGAGCAACGAATGAGCCCTAAAGCCCGCCGACAAAAGCGCGCCGACAGAAGCGCGCTGTAACGTAACCCTAAACCTAACCCTAACCGTAAATCTTACCTTAAATTAAATTGCGCTTCTGTCGGGGCGCAGTTGTCGGCGTGCTTTTGACATCGCGGTTTTAGCGCCGCGGTGTTGTCGGCGCGCTTATGACGTTCGCGCTTTTGTCGGGTCACTATGTATGTATGTATGTATGTATGTATGTATTCATACATGCATGCATATATGCATATAAATAAATAAATAAATAAATACATACATACATACATACATATGAAAAGGACATTATAGTAAAAAGTGCTGAGAAAAAGAAAAGAATACGTAAAGAGAAAAGAAGAAAGATAAAGAAATGATTTCATCAAGACAAGTAAAAACAATTTCAGTAACTTATCCCTTCTTTAACATTTCAATAAAAGATCTTTTCTTCATCTCCTATCTCCTATCTATAAACAAATTATAAAGCCTCATAATTCAGGCCTTATCAGCAAAAGCCAATTGAGAAATAACAAGATAGCTATTTGAACCTCAATCAAATAAATCAGTTACATATTTCTTTCCTTTAATACAGTAATTTATCATTTCCTCTAAAAATACAACCTTCCCCTTTTGCCATCTCTTATCTATAAACAAATCTTTAAAGCCTCCTCATTTCAATCTAGTCAAAGCTACCAAGAAGCAACATGTTAAGAATCCTCATCTTTGATTCCTTCAAACAGCATCCCACGTTAATTTCTTATCATTTTCTCTTTCTTTTTTTCCACAAATTTAACACATATCAAGAAGAACATCTATAGTTCAGTCTTAACCAGATAGCCCAACTTTGATATTCTTCCCAAATCCTATCTATAACAAATTTTTAAAGGGTCGTCATTCTGTCCTGGTCACGAAATTCCCATTAAGAACCACTGGAAAGAACACCATATATATATATATATATTTAAACTTGATCAACTTTACATTCCTTCTTTTTTACTTTTAAAAACCCAAAGTGGTAAAATGGGGTAATGGTTGAGCTGCATTCAGCTTAGTTTCAAATTCATCAGGGTCCGACACACTCCTTTTTTTCCAAAAAAAAAATATTGATTAAAGCTTATCGCAATCTTTTCTCCCCCACTCAGTCACAATAGCTTATATGAGCTGTGTCCCGCCCACTTCCTGTCGTCCCCCTCCCCAATATAAGCCCTGGTCCCTCAATGTTGATGGACTTTTCTAACATATAGGGAAGGTATTGAGAAAAGGGCACCATCAGGTTGAGGCTGGGAACATTTCCCCATTGATCCCTATATTCAAAATGATGCAGGGTTGTGAAAAGAAATGGGCCCTGAACTCATGCAAGGCAGAGATTGGCATTATGTAACTTCAACACTGGGGTTCATAAACCAGCTGGCCTTGAACCACAGGATGCTTTGTCTATGGGGATTCTCAGTCATCCAGGTTATGGCTGTCCCAGAGGTGCTTTTTCAAAAGGCAACTGGACTTCCTTTGTTTCTGTTCAAAGACATTTTGCTTTTCATCCAAGAAGCTTCTGAAGATCTTCAAGCAAAAACAAAGGAAGTCCAGTTTCTTTTTTTTAAAAAAAGCATCTTTGGGACACAGGATACTTTGAACACTTCCAAGGGCAGAGGAATAGAAACCCACCTTCTACTCTGAAGACAATCACCTTACTGAGTGAATTCAGGCACAAAACATAACATTCTGAATACCACTAGTGTAAGTCTGGAAATTATTGAAAACACTCACGTGAGTGGCAAGTTTTCCCTTTCCAGCCATTTTTACATTCACAGAAAAAGTCATTGACCAAGTCTCGGCACGTCCCTCCATTGTGACAAGGGCTTTTACTGCAATCATTGATATCTGGAGATAACAGAGAATGTCAGCTGATTACTCATCTGTAGTAGCTAAAAATATTTATAGAGCACTCTTCGTCTGCATATTCCTTTTCCTCTTCCTAGCCTATAATTCCTGGATTAAATGCCACAAGATCTTGATTGCCTATCGCCCCTATTCTGCACTCCATCCCTGTGTTCCCTTTTGGTTTTTCTCACTATTGAGAAAATTGCAATGAAAGCCTTCCAGTACCTTAGCTACACTAACTTTATACTAAACTCAGATCACTGGAAGCCAACATTCCCTTAACCATATAGGAAGTTTAGACAGGGCACTTCACTGCAGGATAACTTATATGGAGCAAAAGGATAGCTAGAAGAAAGTTTCTCCTGTACAGGATATCCTTTTTGTTCAAGGACATTTATTTCATGTCTTATGTGAGCATGTAGAGATAGAAAAATGAAATGCAAAAATTACCCTTCCAGTGGTGCAACAATGGCTTCGAACTATAAACAGATTTCTCTGCAACTCCCCCCCCCCCCAAAAAAAAATAAAAGAAAATGGCTTGGGAAAACTTTCCCAGGCTCCTTGGCTGCCTGGAACATTGTTCCAAATCTATATACTGCTATACATCTGGATGTTGAAGCCGTTCCTTGGGGCATTATTGTTTCGTTTCTGTTCATGCTTTATGATAGCTCTTATTTTATTTATCCTCGGTAAGCTGCTCTGAGCTGCATAAAAGCTGCAGTAAATAAAAGCAATAAATAAATAAGGGCTCTCAGCTATTTAGGGAGAGGTGAACGTAAGACAATCATCCTGAGCATCTCAACAGCCAGAAAAACAAGTAGGTAAACCTAAAGCATCAGCACATAAAGGGCTTGTGGGATGGGCTCAGATTGAAGTCAAAAAGAGCAACTTTGGTTTTATGAAAAGAGAATGAATTCCTCTTTGCAAATTAAGACGAAGGAGGGTACAAAAGTGGGCAGGATAAAACATTCATTTACTATTTCCACAACCCGGGGTAGAATACACACTTGCAATTTCTAACGTTGTATGTAGCCTACAAACTCAGAAAAGTATTTTTTGAGATTCCCAATTCTCTCAATATCTACGCGGGCTGCTCAATTAATGAAGCCCATGGTGTTTTCAAGGGATTTCTCCTCCCTTCCATCTTCCCATCTCCGCTTACTTGCTTCACAGAAGGTGCCTTCCCAGCCGTCACTACAAATACACTTGTAGGAGTTGATGCCGTCAATGCACGTGCCCCCATTTTTACATGGGTTGCTCTGACAGTCATTGATATCTGCAAAACAAGGATTGAAAAGGAGATGAGTATACCGACGGTGCCCTTTAAAAAAAATTAAACAGGGAATCTAAGTTGAAAAATGCCGGGTCCTCCGAACAAAACTATTTTAGCCCTGTTCCTAGAGATATCAAGATTAAATCTGTTTCATTCAACATGCAACTGCTCTACCACAGTGCCTGGCCCTTCGTTAAAAAAAAAGGAAAGCAGGCTAATAAAAAACAGCTTATTCTTAATATCCCCCTCCCCCTAATGCGTTAAACATTATGTAAAGGCAGTCAATAAAAATGGCAAGGTAAGTTTGCTGTGCGCTAGTAGAAGCCTTCTGTACACATGCCCAAGTTAATGTTATAATTTATTAAAAAGTTAAATATTCAAGGGCAGGGACGTCTTAATAAACAATTTCCCCAAGGCTCCAGTCTCAATTCACTGCAGGAAAAAGAGAACTCGGGCAGGGTTGACAAGATGTATGAGGGCCAATACCAACGTCCCAAAAACAAATGTTCTTATTATTTACACAAGGAGCTTCAAGCCTGGATGTAAATGAGAGGAATCAAGATAAGCATCTCCAAATCTTACTTTCATGACAGTAGGTGCCAGTGAAGCCTTTGTTGCATTCACAAGTAAACTTGCCGCCCGACTGGCTCTTGCACTTGCCGTGAGGGCCACAAACATTGGAAGAGATATAGCGAACCCCTTCTGGGGTGCTGTTGGAAGCGACAGCAACAGTACAGCTGTCAATCACTGCAGAAGAGAGACAAGCAAGCAAAGATGAGTCTTCACTGACTTACCAGCAGCTTTATGGATTTGCCACGGTTGTTGCTGATGTGGGGAAAGTACATCCGAATTAAACTAGGTTTTAAAGCAGGGTTTTCCACAACCTCGGGAACTTTTAAGACTTGTGGACTTCAACTCCTAGGCATATTGGCTGGATAATTTTCTGGGAGTCGAAATCCACAAGTCTTAAAAGTTGCCAAAATTGGACATTCCTGTTTTAAAAGCTTGATAAGAAAGAAGAGGGTAGGCGAGGAAATGCAACACAGTTCCAACTGGGGAAGAAAAATGGGTTTCCACTTTGGACCTCACCACTTTCTACTTTGAACATATCCACTTCTCCCTTGCCATGGCTTCCACCCAGCCCCAATATTTCCCAGAATGTGGTATGCGATCTTCAGTTACAAAGAGCAGTATACTCTTATGACTCTCCCAATATTGCTATTAAAAATCCCTTTTGTAGTGCAAAAGATGATTCTAAAGCACTTTGTATTTTGTAAGTATCCCCAACTCTTTAGGATCAAGAGCATCATGTAACCAGGAAGGCCAGATTATTATTCCAGTTAGATCAGGGATCATTGGAGGCTGAGGATTGCACTAAACAATTTTAGGATGGGCTTCGAAGCAGATAATTGGGATCGGATGGGTTTGATTTGGATTTCTCCAAGTGAGCAGAGCTGGGATATTCTGTAGTTTTTAAACCTACTTAGAAATGCATGGTAAAGTTACTGGGTCTTCCTCCTCGAAATAGCAGGAGATCAATGGCTGCTAATATATTTAAAGGGCATAACTTAATATTCACTGGAGAAGAGCTTAATGCTGGGAAAGATGAAGGGCAAAAGAAGAAGGGGATGACAGAGATTGAGGTGGCTGGATGGAGTCACTGAAGCAGTAGAAGTGAGTCTAAATGGACTCCGGGGGATGGCAGAGGACAGGAAGGCCTGGAAGAACATTGTCCATGGGGTCGCAATGGGTCAGACATGGCTTTGCAACTAACAACAACAAACTTAATATTCAGTGTAACCACAGTAAATGGAGTCTGAAGGACCCATGTTGCCTCATGGCCCACGCCCGCTAACCTACTAACACAGCACTGATTGCGCTAAGTCACCAGACATATCAGACAGACATCTTGGTCAGGTGATCTTGGGACACTCTGCATGAAGAGCATCTATCATTGTCCCCAGTGAATGAGCGATTGCTACACTTCCTAGCGCAAATGTTCAAACAGCATACCTTCACAAGGAGTTGAGCGGCAGTGATCTTTGAGGTGGGAACAGTTCTTGCCCTCGTAATCATCCGGACAGTTGCTGCAGAAATAATCGCTCTCGTAATTGAAGCACTGGGCCCCATTCTGGCAAGGGTTGGGCTCGCAATAATCTACGTCCAACTGTCAGTGATGGTGGAGAGGGAGGAAAGAAGAGAGGATCTAAGTCAAAGGCTTTATTCATCTTCTTCCCACGGTCACAGGAAGGAAATGTGGAATCTGACCTTTTTTTATCTGCCACCTCTACTGCCTGTGCATGCCAGACACAATGCAGCTCTCACCAGCCTCGCTAAAATAATGTTATCGAACGGCATGCAGAGGCTGGGTAGACACAGAGCGCTTGTAACATGAATGTATAGAAATGATCCCCGAGTTATGAATTCCCATACCTCACCCTTGGTGGCGGTGGGTTTTTTTTAAATAAAAAAAGTGTCTATTAACGCTGCTCGCTTGAATGCAGGTATTCAGCCTACAGACCCAGGAACTGCGCACCGAGTTGGCTCTTATCCGGAACCTGCCTCACCTGACAGATGTTTCCCGAGAAACCAGCCAGGCAGAGACATTGGAAGCCATTGATTTCATCTTGGCAGTGGCCCCCATTCAAACAAGGGTTGCTTGCGCACTCATTGATGTCTCTCTCACAGTGATCCCCGATATAGCCAGGTGGACAGAGACAGCGATAACCGTTCACTAAATCCTGGAAAGATAAAAGGGTGCAAAAAGAAAACAAAACAAAAAAAAGAGAGATAAGCTTACCTTGCCAATAAACACAAAGCATTCACACATGCAAGCGGCGCAAAACACAGAGAGGCCATTTGATGTCCTAGAATGGTGTTAGAGCACGACTCTTACACAAGCCCTTCTTAGACTTCGAGGGAATCCTCAAATTATGATTAGCATCGGGGCCAGAGTTTCCACGGTCAAATAAAATGGTTCTTAAGTGAGTCATACTGAATTTTATGACCTTTTTTTTTTGCCACAGTGCCACAGAGCCGAGGTGGCGCAGTGGTTAGGGTGCAGTACTGCAGGCCCCTTTAGCTGACTGTGATCTGCAGTTCAGCAGTTCAAAT